CTAAAGAATGCCTTGTGGAGGGTGCTGTCCTGGGCATTGTGAGAGTTATGCCCGAAGCACCCCACTGACCCCCTCCCGCCAATCCCCACGTGACAACCGAAAATGTCCCATGCTTTTGGGGTCTCCTTCGGATCTGGGAGCTGCACTTAGGCATTTTCCCACCCGACACTTGAGCTCATCTCTGCTTTGGTCCAAATAAGGCCTCTCTGTTTTAAAAATGTTTTTCTTGAAAGATTGTATCTATCTTTTAAACAAATCAATCTTCTTCCTTCATCTTTGCATTCAGTTAATTCTTCCACACCCTTTCTTTAGTATGTTTTGAAGTGTATCCATTCTAATTCTAGTAATTAGTATATCTAACTCGCATGATAACTGCTACTACCCCAGAGCAGCTCTGATTCCTTGAGTACAGGGAATGGAGTGCGTGTTCCTGATTCTGCTCTAGATGACGTAATTCAATTTATTTTACGTTACTTGTCTAGGATATTGCTTTTCATTTGTAAAATATAACTGTGGATGTGGCTTGAATCACTGGGTGGTTTTATTTCTTTATTCACCTAATATTTGTTGTGTACCTATGCAAGTCAAATACATGGCATGATATTGGTTCATGGATCAAACCACAGCAAATAGAAAACTATATTAAGGACCTTATAGCCAGGAGTGGTGGCATGTGCCTACAGTCCTAGCTACTTGGGAAGCTGAGGCAGGAGAATTGCTTGAGCCCAGAAGTTTGAGGTTGCAGTCAGCTCAGCTATGATCATCATTTCATTTCAGCCTGGGCAACAAAGCAAGACCCTGTCTCTGAAAAAAAGAAAACATATAGTAAGGTGCTACATGTATTGTATATCTCAGGAGACTCGTGTCCTGTGATTTTTCTAAGTGGTGTCTCCATGTACTTTTTCATGAATGTTTGTCTGGTATTACTTTTCTATCCTTTTACTTTCAACTTTTCTGTATCTTCTACCAATAGTATGTCTTTTTTTAAACAGTCTATGGTTGTTTATTTATTTATTTATTTTTGCCCCTCTGCATTATTTGCCTTGTATTTGGGGTGTTTGAGTCCATTATGTTTAATGTCATTGTCGCCCTGGTTGGGTTTAAGTCCACCTTGTCATTTGCTGTTTTCTAACATTACCTCTTTTTTGCTCCATTATTTTTCTTTTCTTGCCTTTTTTAAACTAATCAAAATCTTTTCACTATTTTACCCTTCTTAAGTGTTCTAATTACCTATTGTCTTATCATTCCCTTAATCACCCAAGAAAGAACAATATTAATCTGTAACTTATTGTAACCAATTGGAAACCGTAACTTCCCTTTCACACACCTGTGTAAATAGTCCAGGAGAGAATTGGTGCTCTGGCTCTGAGACACCTGAGACACTGGGGGGCAGGGGGTGGAAGCAGGAGAGTAACTGGATGGTGAAGCTGTAGCTGCAGAGGCATCCGGGCCCCTCACCTGCACTCCTCGTAGATGTCTCCTCCACTGAATGCCTGCGATGCCCTCTCCTCCGTATGCTCCTGCCAGAGTCTCCCCTTCTCTACTGACAGCAGCACCACCCTTCTAAACTCACAGTCTAAGACTATGGCTGTCCTTGATTCTTCTTTCTCAGATCACAGATACAATTTATTAGCAAATACTATGATGCAGAGAGAATCCCATCACTTCTCATTATTTCCACTGCCGACACCCAGGTCAAAGTAAGCAACATCTCTGTCCTGAAAAGCTACATACCTTTCCCACTGTTTTCTCCACTGCCTTGCTTGTCCACCACCTCTCAGTTCTGTTCTCAGTAAAGCAGCCAAAGAGAAGCTTTTAAAGAATATGTCCTACCATGTCCTACTTCTCAAAACAATACCCTAACACCCTATACCATTCAGAGCGAAAGAGAAAACCCTGCCCACACCCTCCAGACCTGTCTGCTCTGGCCACACCTCAGAACTCATCTCAGTTATTCTGTCCAGCCCTTCTGACCTCTTTCCACTTTGCAGAGCACAGACACCATCCTGACCTAGTATAATTGCACGGGAGCCTCCTTGCCTGGAAAGAACTTTCCTAGACATCCTCATAGATATCTCCTCATGTCCTTCAAATCTTTCTTCAAGACCTAGAAGCAGCTTCTCTGCTCCTTCTTCAATCTCTGCCAGGCTCAGCACACTTTCCCCACCATGTCCATCAGGGTGACCCAGAAGTACTACAAGGTATTCCACTCTGGCCCCCAGGCCTTCAGCATCTGCTCCTACATGAGTGGGCCTGGCACCCACATCAGCTCCTTGAGCTTCTCCTAAGTGGGCAGCAGTGGCAGCAGCTTTGGGGTAGCTTGGGCACAGCAAAGGTCTGGGTGGAGGCTGTGGCAAGGCTTGTGGAATGGGGGCATCACAGCCATCATGTTTAACCAGAGCCTGTTGAGTCCCCTTAAGCTGGAGGTGAATCCCAACACCCAGGCCAAATGCATACAGGAGAAGTAACAGATCAAGACCCTCAATGACAAATTTGCCTCTTTTGTCAACAGGGTACAGTTCCTGGAGCAGTAGAGCAAGATGATGGCGACCAAGTGGAGCCTCCTAAAGCAGCAGAAGATGACTCAGAGGAGCATGGACCACATGATCGAGAGCCACATCAACCTTCAGCAGCAGCTGGACACTCTGGGCCAGGAAAAGCTAGAGCTGGAGGCGGAGTTTGGCAACACACAGGGGCTGATGGAAGACTTCGAGAACAAATACGAGGATGAGATCAATAATCATACAAAGATGGAGAATGAATTTGGCCTCATCAAGAAGAATGTGGATGAAGCTTACATGAACAAGGTAGAGCTGGAGTCTCACGTGGAAGAGCTGACAGATGAGATCAACTTCCTCCGGCAGTTGTGTGAACAGGAGATCCGGGAGCTTCAGTCCCCGATCTCAGATACATCTGCGATGCTGTCCATGGACAATATCCGCTCCCTGGACATGAACCGCATCATCACTGAGATCCAGGCCCAATAAGAGGAGTTCACCAACTGCAGCCAGGCTGAGGCTGAGAGCCTGCCCCTGATCAAGTAGGAGGAGCGGTAGGCTCCGGCTGGGAAGCATGGGATGACCTTTGTCACATGAACACGGAGATCTCAGAGATGACCTGGAACCTCAGATGGCTTCAGGCTGAGATGGAGGGCCTCAAAAACCAGTGGGCCTCCCGGCAGGCCATCATCACAGATGCCAAGGAGCATGGGGAGCTGGCCATTAATAAAGCCAAGCTGTCCGTGCTGGAGGCCGCCCAACAGTGGGCAAAGCAGGACATGGCATGGCAGCTGTGCCAGTACCAGGAGCTGAGGAACATCAAGCAGGCTCTGGACATCGAGACCGCCTCCTACAGGACGCTGCTGCAGGGCAAGGAGGGCTGGCTGGAATCTGGGACATGGAATGTGAATATCCATAGGAGCACCACCAGTGGCTACTCAGGTGAGCTGAGCTTGGCCTGCAGGGGCCTCACAAGCCCTGGCCTCAGCTACTGCCTGGGCTCCAGCGTTCACTCTGGTGGGGGCTCCAGCTCGTTCCGCTGCACTAGCTCCTCCAGGGTCATGCTTTTGAGAAAAATTAAGACCATTAAGACCCGTGGTAGGAAGCTGCTGTACAAGTCCTCGAATGTGCTGCCCAAGTAAACTGCCACGGCAGCGTCTCTCAATCTACCCCTTCCTGTGACTGCCCCAGAGCCTGTGGGGGAGGCCACTGTGCAGGGGAGCATTGGGAACAGGAGACCCACCTGAGGCTCAGCCCTCGCCCTCAGCCTGCCTGTGGGGGTGTTCACTGCCTGGGGTACCCCCACTTGCGCACACTTTCAGCTACAAAGTAACTGTGTGTGTGTGTGTGTGTGTGTGTCTGTGTGTGTGTGTGTGTCTGTGTGTGTGTTTCCAAAATAAAGCCACAATTAGCTCTGCCAACTGTGAAAAAGAAATCTTTCTTTGAAGGTCACATTTGAAAGACGGCCCACACTGACCACAGTACAACAGCCACCTCCCTGTCCCCACAGCCCACACTCTGCATCACCCCCACAGCACTTGCCACCTTCTAACATGAGCATTGTCCTTCCTTACTCTGCTCATAGTGTATCTTACGTCTGCCTCTTCTCCCTAGAACATATGCACCACAAGGCCAAATTTATCTGTTTTTACTTTAAAGATGTTTTCCAAATGCAAAAACAGTCATTTACCTAACAGACAACCAATGTCAGTTCAATGAATGATCACCATAGAGCACCTCCCTATTTGAAAGGCAGTATCTTTACTAATGTAGCCTCAGGCCAAATGCTGTGTTGTAGCCTCAGCTACAATACAACATCCTCTCACACTGAAATCAGTGCCACTAGTGCTTTTGTCACCAGTGCTGCTTGTGTGCCCCCCTGCCTCCACCGCATTCCTCCTCCCACACCAACCCTCCTGCACACGGCAGCACACAACCATATGTCTCTCTTCAGGAAAGATAATCCTAGGATTGTAAGTCCAATTTTGCAACTGAGTATAAATTTAAATTAGACTCTGTTTTACAAATCCATGGGTTTGTATTGGAGTTGACACTAGGATCACTACAACTCGGGGCAGGAAGAAGAATAGGAGAGAGAGCAGAAGGAGTTCCAACAGAAAGTTACCTACAATGAGAAACTATGGGACCCCTCCTCTCTGCAAATGTCAGAATCTGGTTCCTAGAAGAAGGCTGGTGAAAAGATGAAAAATACAATCCAGGAAAGAGCCCTGGAAGGAGGGCAAGCACTGGACAGGTCTGAAAGCTCAGTCTCTTGATACCACAAGGACTTCTGTGTGCAGGGACTGCTCTAAACGACATCTGAGTCCCTGTGATCACAGGTCCTGGTGGGACAAGGTTCTACTGAAGGACCAAGGCCATTGGAGCAGCCAAGATGACCCAGCTGAGCAGTGACCACATAAAGCCCACAATGGCCTGAGCTCCCACTGGCCGCAGCCCCATATACTCTCCTCTGCAAGAGATCAGTAGAAGAAACACATAGACTCTGGAAGGTTCTCAGGTCTTCCATTTATTTTGTCTCTTAAATTTTAGTAATCTCCTCCTTTAATTAACACATCAACTTCTCATGGCAAGAATTTGAAGAAGTAAATTTATATTCAGACTCTAATTTTTATAGGGAAGTAGGAAATTGCAGCTCAGTACACCATGAAGTTCAGACAGAGATAAAGACATCCAAGCCCCATGTCTCTGGAACAGGAAACATAATTAGGCAGAAACAACATGGGGCAGTGCGGGGAAGGGGGTCATGGAGGACATGGGGGTGGACTGGTCCCCCACCTTCTCACGTTATACTAACAGGGATGAAGACACATTTGGACACCTTTGCAGAAAGAGAATTCAGGGTACTCGAAGTCACAAAAGGGAGGCGTGAACAAATCCTGCTTCTCAGTCCCACACAAGGCGGCTATCTCACACTATAGAGAAAATATTTATGAACAAACTCATATTAGTCACAGTGAGAGGTGACACTCTGAACCGCCCATCACATACTCAGGAAATCCAAGTCAAAGAAACCCCATAGCACACCTGCGTTCCCTCTGTTCCCCACAATACCCCACTTATATCAGGGCACCTGCCCCCGAGTGTCACCTTTGTAGGTTATGAGAGACACACCAAAGCCCTGGGCAGTGTCAATGACTGGAGTAGAACACAAACAGGACCTGGTCAGAGCCCACAGGAGACATGGCTAGAAGAGGAACTGTGGGCTGGGCCAGCTTCCCCTTGGGCTCCCAACCACAATATCCCGATGATCTCAGGGTTCAGCCCCCTTCATACTTACTTGCAACCTGAGAGCAGCTCTCTCTGTTTCTATCTGTGAGAAGAAAATGTCCTGTGAGAGGCCAGAAAGGAGGCAGGGCCATAAGACCCTAGAGCAACCCTCTAGTCTTTGATCCCAGAGAATTTTCCAGAAATGTACAACTGCAGATCTAGGGCAAGATCAGACAATAAGAAAGTAGGTGTGGGTCCTGGACCAACTGTCCTCCTGAGGTCTGTCCTCAGCAGGGACCTTCCCCTGTGATTTGTGACTGTTGACAATCAGATCCCCACCACCACAGTCTTCAAAGTGAAAAATCTGTTGTTCATTTTTGCTTTACAAATGAGTAAGTGTTGTCACACAGGGTAGCAGGCTGGGTAGGCCCATGTGTGTGGATGGTGCTTCCCAGTAAGGAGACAGGGCACACTTCAACCTAGGCTTGAAACCCCCACTAGGGCAAGAAAACTGAGACCCCACTCCTCACCCCTTCCCTGGATCTTCTTCCTCCACATCACAGCAGTGACCACAGCTCCAGTGACCACAGCTCCAAGAACACCCAGGCCAGCAACAATGTCCACGAAGGGGATGGTGGGCTGAGAAGACGGCTCTGAGACATGAGGGGAAGGTGAGGGGTCCTGACCCCCAGGACTCAGCCCTGACCCTGCTGAAGGGCTTCAGAAGGGCTCCTGCTTTTCCTGAGAAAAGACATGACCTCTCATCCTCCCCTTTACCCCTTCTCACTCCTTACCCCATCTCAGGGGTGAGGGGCTCCAGGTCAACCCCTCTGTGCTGGCACATGGCATGTGTATCTCTGGCTCCTCCCCAGAAATGCACCACCACAAGCTGCCACTTCTGGAAGGTTCCATCCCCTGCAGGCCTGGTCTCCGCAAGCTCTGTGTCCTGGGTCTGTTCCTCCCCATCTCTCTGCCAGGTCAGCGTGATCTCGCGCATGGTAGAAGCCGGGTCAGGGTCAGGGCCCAGCACCTCAGGGTGGCCTCATGGTCAGAGATGGGGTGGTGGGCAATGTGTGCCTTTGGAGGATCTGAAAAGAGTCAGAAAATTCAGACACTTTGCACTCCTCATGGGACACCCAGCAGTGCTCACGTGACCATCCTGAGAATGGACAGGACACCTGGGATAATCTTTTATTCCTTGCAGAGTTCGAGTCTCTGAGGGGGAATAGGGACTTCTGGCCCTGACCTAAGTGGAGGCCAAGAGACTTAGAAGAGCTGGAATCAGAGCACCACACACATTGTGTGTGAAGGAGAGAAGAAGGTCTGAGAGCAAAAGTCACGGAGCCCAAGGATGTTGCAGAGGTCAAAGGGGACCGCTGATCAGTATTCCAGGGACTGTCTTTCCTTCCATTCCCTCAAAGACTTCATCCCTTAATTGTCCTAGCGAGCAGAGCAGATACTCAGAGACACTCTCTGGTACAGGATTCGGAAACCAGGAGGATTCTTCCCACTCAGGACCAGAGGGAGGGCGATATTCTAGCATTGGTCCCATTTTCCTCCCCTACTTGTCCGAGGCCAGCCGGGGAGATCTACGGAAGGTGGTGAAGGCGCCCTGTGGCCCCTGGTACCCGCGCGCTGCAGCGTCTCCTTCCCGTTCTCCAGGTATCTGCGGAGCCACTCCACGCACCCGCCCTTCAGGTAGGTGCTGAACTCCTCTGCATAGTTCTCTGCCTCATACATGCGCTGGGTGATCTGAGCCACAGAGTCCGCCGAGGTCCAGGAGCGCAGGTCCTCGTTCAGGGAGATGTAGTCCTTGCCGTCGTAGGTGTGCTGGTGATACCCGCGGAGGAAGTGTCCATCGGGCGCCACATCGCAGCCATTCATTCCCTGGAGGGTGTGAGACCCTGGCCCCGCCCCCGCGGTCAGCCCCGCCCACCGAGCCCCGCCCCCGCCCGACCAACCCGCAGGGATTTTGGTCTAAACGGAAATGAAACCGGGTAAAGGCGCCTGGAGCTCTCACGGGTGGAGAATCTGGGCTGGTTTCCCGTAGTCTCGGGGTGGATCTCGGACGGGAGACTCGGGGAGACCCAGGCCCTCCGTGGGGGATGGGGAGGGGTCCTGACCTGCTTCCTCCTCCTCCCCGCCCGCCCGGAGTCCCAGAGTCGCTCACCGCCCTCGCTCTGGTTGTAGTAGCGAAGCAGTTTCCGCAGTTTCACTCGGTCAGTCTGGGCGTTGGCCTTGAAGACCCGTGTCCCCTGGTCCCAATACCCTGGCCCCTCCTGCTCCACCCACGGCGCCCGCGGCTCCATCCTCGGACTCGGGTCGTCGCTGTCAAACCGCACGAACTGCGTGTAGTCCACGTAGCCCACTGCGGTGTACCTGTATCTGGGCTCCCCGCGGCCGGGCCGGGACACGGCGGTGCTCAGATACCTCAAGGAGTGGGAGCCTGGGGGCGAGGAGGGGCTGAGACCCTCCCAACACTTCTCTTAGCCCAGCTCCCCGGGTCCTGCGCCCCTGTCCGGCGGATCCCTCGCTCCTCCCCGCAGAGGCCGTTTCCCTCCCGACCCCGCACTCACCTGCCCAGGTCTCGGTCAGGGCCAGGGCCCCCCAGAGCAGCAGGAGAAGGGTTCGGGGACCCATGACCCCAACCTCCGCATTTGGGGAGAATTTGAGTCCCCGTGGGTGCGTGGAGACTTTAGAATCCGAACCACGGCGACGCCGATTGGCTTTAGAAACCCGACACCCAAGGGGAGTGAGAACTGGGTCCGCGTCATGAGTGTCCTGGAAGAAGGACACGGCACAAGTTTGGAAAGAAAGAGAAACTGCGGAGATGGGGAATCCCCAAATGCTGAGCCTCCACACCCCAGACCTGAGGCCATTGAGAATCATGTCTCGGGCACTCCTCCTGTGCAGAACCTCCAGAACCTCCTCCTCCTGTGCAGGGTGTGTCTCAGGGTCTCCCTGAGCCTTCGCCGGAGGCTGAGAAACCAGGGAGAAACCCTTCTCATGGAACCCAGTCTCTCTACCTTCACTTTTCATCCCAGAATCCTTGTCCCTGGACTGAACTTTCTGCCTGCCACTCTATAGCTGAACCCCCCTGCACTCTTTTGGAAGAAAACTCACTCCAGAAAACTTGGAGTGAGTTTGGACTGGGAATGGAGGTGTAGAGACAGTGGTTTTTTTTTGTTTTTTTTTTGTTTTTTTTTCCTTAAATGTGGAAAAGTTGTGCCTGAACTCATGAGATAGAACGGAGACCAGTTTCCTTTTTATTAGCTGCAGTGAATAGTAGAATCTTGGTAAGCTTTGAATTATCAGGAATCTTATCTGTAAAAATTGTTATTTTGGCCCCTTGATACATAAATGTGTCTAAATAAATTACAACCAACAACTCGCAGAGCTCCTAAGTTTTGCTTTCCAAGACTGTATCTGTGACTCTTGTTGTAGTTTAAAATTACCTTCATTCCACAGCCCTGAGTTTCTGTGTGGTCCAGGACATCTCCTCAATACAAAGTAGCACACTGTGTTACTGAATGTTGCAACCAGGAGCCAGTGCAGATTTCATTCACCTCACAGTTGCAAGTGTTCAATGCAGTCAAAATGCCCCCACCAGTGCTCATGCACTGCCTGTTTTTAGGAAGTATCCACATCTAAGTGGTGTGCATATTTTATTGGAACACATAGTATTTTTTCAAATCTGAAAAGAAGCATAAAAATCAGTTTTGAAGCAGTCCCACATAGGGTGTTAAAGGCCAAATGCAAGGAACACCCTGCTAGGCTCTGTAGATGGATGTATTAAAAATCTATAAAACAATGTGTTTAAACCTAAGAATTCTGCTGCTTTTGAATTCTTTCCCTCCATTCCTTTTACTCGCCTCCTGCTTCTCCAGCCCTTCCCTCCATTCCTATCATCCCTCTTATCCCTCAGGGCTTCTTCTCCCTTTATTCCCCACCATCATGTCACTCCTGAATTGTAACTCTAGCATTGTCCTATTACTTGCTACGTGACTGTTCTCTCCAGAGTGGTCCTGCTACTGTGAGTCAGAGTATGTCATTTCTTCACCTAAAACACTGCAACGATTCCACCAATCTTGTGAAACTTTTAGCATGTCAGGCACGTGGTTCAGCTTAGTGACTAAACTAATTTTTTTGACTGATTGAATGAAATATGATTATTTTAAAATTTAATTGCATCACAGAATATTATAAAATGAAAAATAGTTGGAAAAGAGAGTATTCTATTTTATGCATGTAGTGTGCCTATAAATTTATAAATTCATTCTGTGTGTCTGTTGAGCCTGTGTATGAATTTTACATGGCTGTATAAAAAATCACCACAACATTGGCTTTAAACAATGCCCTTTTATTGTATTTATTTATTTATTTTTTAGAGACAGAGTCTCCCTCTATCATCCAGGGTGAAGTGCAGTTACATGGTCATGGCTCACTGCAGCCTCAAACTCCTGGCCTCTAGGGTCCCCCTGCCTCAGTCTCCAGAGTAGCTAAGACTACAGGGAAGTGCCACCATGCCCAACTAAATTCTTTTTTAAAAAATATTTTCAGTAGAAAAGTTGTCCCTGTAGGGCTTAGGGTCCCACAGGGTCATGGGGTGTCCCTTATGCTGTGCTGATGCACAGGATCCAAGAAATAAAGACACAGGACACAGAAGTACAAGGAAAATGCAGCTGAGCTTGAGGGGCCACGCCACCTATGAGTGGGGTCAGGTGAGGCCCCAAATATCCAAAAGCATGTGTATTTATTGTGTATAGATTAAGGGGCAGGGCAGTGGATGAAATCATCTTTAAGGATAGTGATAGGGTCATGAGCGAAAAAAGAAGGGGCCCACCCCATCAGGTCCCTGAGACATGGAGGTGGGGTGTGCGCAGTGAAGAGGGTGCAGTGTGCAATACTTCTATCTATGGGCAAGCTACTTCTAATATTTATAGGAGGATGCTTTAAGTCACACAGCAGTGACAGAGCTGTCAGGGTTACTGTCACCTGCTGGCAGCTTCCAATGAGTTCTATAGGAAGATGCTTTTGAGCAGCACAGTAACGAGAGCTGATAAAGTTCACAGTCACCAAAATGCAATTACCGGTCTGAGGGCAGCCTTCCATAAGAACTGGAGCAAGGTCATACAACTCCTTTATCAGGAGGAGTGGCTCTTGCCCCAAGCCTGCCATACAGTGTGTATCTTTACAATACTGAACGCTGCCACCTGGGCCATGGGTTTTTGTCCTGGTATAACTGTTTTCCCTTAAATCATGGTCTGCACTGTGTCTGTTCCAGACATTCCTCTGATTATAGGCTGCTTATTCCTTAATTCATGCTCTGTACTGTGTCTGCTCTAGACATTCTTCCAATTATGAACTAAGATATATATATATATATATATATATATATGGAAATAACTGAGTGGTAAGATATTCTTTAGACACTCATTCTATTAACTAATGTATGATTATATATAGAAGATTGTATAAAGGGAAATAACTAAGTAGTAACACTGTAAACTGAGATATTCCCCAAGCCCTAATTCTATAAACTAATATTTGATTACATAAAGGATTATATAAAAGGAAATAACTGAGTAATAACACTATAGACTGAGATATTCTTCAGGCCTTAATTGTGCCAGGATTCTGCTTAGCTCTCCTTCCTATATGGGGGTTGCCCACATCTCCCAAATTGCCCAGGCTAGTCTCAAACTCCTGGTTGCAAGTCATCCTCCTCCATCATTCTCACAAGCCTTAGGATTACAGGTGTGAGCTACCGTGCCTGAACAAACCACTTATTTATTTATTGACAGTTCCTTAGTCAGAAACATGGGCATGATTGGAGGGTTCTCTGTTTAGGGCTTCCCAAAGCTGTGTTTTCATTTTGAGGGCCTCCTTCAGGCTTATACAGAGGTGACAGAATTCAGTTTCCGGAAGTTGTAGGACTGAGGTTCCTGCTCCTTGCCTGCTGTCAGGGTAGAGACAGGCTTCTCTCAATTCCTGCTGCCCACCAGCATTCTTTGCCACACAGTGGAGGAAACCCCTTATGCTGAATCCCTCTCACACTGTGAATCTCTATGCTCAGGGAGAACCCAGTCCTTGCAAGGGCTCGCCAGATGAGGATGGCCCGAACCAAGATAGTCCCTGTCTTAAAGTCAACTGATTTAGGACCTCAATTGTATATGTAAAAATTCCTTCAAGACAACACCTATATTATTGTTGGTTGAATAACTGGGGCAGGTGAATGACCAGGGGCACACATCTATCATGGGGGTCGTGATGGAATCCCTTTAGCATGGCCTGGGTCTTTCTTTTTACTTTAATTGGGACACAGTTGGAAACTGAAGTTCAAATAAAGCAATCATTGTGAATGACAACAAAATACATCATATTTAGCCATGGAAATTCTTCTTATCTCTTAAAACCAAATGTCATGTTCAATATTCTATAATCAATTTAGGCCAGAAGTCGTGGCATATGCCCGTAATCCCAGCACTTTCAGAAGCAGAGTCAGGCAGAGAGCTTAATTTCACAAGTTCAAGATCAGTCTAGGCAGCATGGCAAAACCTTTTTCTCTACCAAAAATATAAAAATTTTAGCTCGGCATGATGGTGTATGCCTGTACTCCCAGCTACTCAGACAGCTGAGGTGGGAAGATCACTTGAGCTCAGAAGGTCGAGGCTGCAGTGAGCTGTCATCCTGCCACAGCACTCCTGCTTGAGTGACAGAGAAAGACCCTGTCTCAATAATGATGATGATGATAATAATAATAATAATAAATTTAGAGCAAATGAAAATTAAAGTACAATAATTCATCCTCTCTTGTGAAGCTGTATTATTTACTGTTGCATAACAAATTACTGAAAACTTAACAGCTCCCACGTTTTCCAATACTCAGGAACCCAGGACAGGTTTCCCTGAGTGCTTCTGGCTCAGGGCCTCTCACAAGGTTGCAGCTAGTTGTCAGCCAAGGGCTGCGTCATCTGAGCATTCAACTGGAGCTGGGAATCCACATGAAACATGGCTCAGTCAAATGGCCATGGCAGAAGGCCTTGTTCCTTGTTGTCTGGTCCCAGGAGGCCTCAGTTCTTAGCCACATGGACCTTCCTGCAGGGTTGCTCGTGACACAGCATCTGGCTTCCCCCAGAGCTCATGATCCCAGAGACAGAGAGAGAAAAGGGGGAAGCCACTGTGAGTTTTATATTCCACACGCAGAGTCAGAAACTCTTATGTCAGCATTACTCTATCTGTTAGAAGTTGTATCAGTCTGCTCTCACACTGCTATAAAGAAATAACTGAGCCGGGCGTGGTGGCTCAAACCTGTAATCCCAGCACTTTGGGAGTCCGAGGCGGGTGGATCACGAGGTCGAGAGATCGAGACCATCCTGGTCAACATAGTGAAACCCTGTCTCTACTAAAAATACAAAAAAAAAAAAAAAAAAAAAAAAAAACTAGCTGGGCGTGGTGGCGCGTGCCTATAATCCCAGCTACTTAGGAGGCTGAGGCAGGAGAATTGCCTGAGCCCAGGAGGCGGAGGTTGCGGTGAGCCGAGATCGCGCCATTGCACTCCAGCCTGGGTAACAAGAGCGAAACTCCGTCTCAAAAAAAAAAAAAAGAAAAAGAAATAACTGAGACTGGGTAATTTATAAATGAAAGAAGTTTAACTGACTCACAGTTCTGCATGAGGAGGCAGCCTCAAGAAACTTACCTTCATGGCAGAAGGGGAAGCAAACGTGTCTTTCTTCACATGGTGGTAGGAGAGAGAAATGGAGA